CTTTCCAGCTTTTCTGGTTACCAAGTTAGCAATTTTCCCGCCAAAACCTTCACATACCCGTACTTGAGTACTCCGCGTGCTTGGAAAGCTAAATTCGACATTTTTAAATTGCACGTGGACAGGGAACATCTGCCTGAAATTTCAGCTTCCTAACTCTTCTGGTTGCCGAGTTAATAATTTTCCTGCAGAAAGTTTCTTACTCCCTTAAGTGAGTACCATGCGCAGCTTAGGGCTGAATTTGAAATATTTGAGTTGCAGTTGGATAAGGAACATCCCCCCAAAATTTCAGCTTCCTAGCTTTCCTGGTACTCGAGTTAGCAATTTCCCCCTTAAAACTTTCATACGCCCTTACGTGAGTACCACGCATAACTGGAGGCTGATTTTGAAATCTTTAGCTAGTACATGTACAGGTAATATCCCTACAAAGTTCCGGCCCCTCAGTTTATGCAGTTCCCGAGATCACTTTCCCGCCAAAAAATTTCCATATTTTTTTAAAGCGTCCGTACACGGCACCCAGGCGTCCGAGGGGGATGAAGTTAAAATGGGAGGGTCGCGCATGGTATAGGCACAAAGTTTCAGCCTTCAAGCTTTTCTGGTTATCGAGTTGAAAGTGGGTGATAAAAAGTGCGAACACACAGACACACACAGCCTCATCTCAATATGCGTTTTTGCAATTTACATATATGCAAAAACGCATAAAAACGTACAGTCAGTAGGCACGGGAGTGATAAAACCGTACTTAAAAACGCCGGTCACTCTAAATTTGAATAAGGGTGGCACTGAATAGGCGATCACAAGTTAACCGGTCAGCGCTGAAGGAATTTGCTTTTTGTGGAACGGAAATAATTGGATTAAATGGATTTTCCAGTTAAATCGTGTGCATTTGCTTCAGAGTCTTCCCTGCTGTAACTCATCGGACAATAAAATGCTTCTTTTGCTAAATTCGCACTGAAGGTCCGCTTTCCGCTCATTCCCCAATACAAGCCAATGTAGTTACAAAGCATAAAAAGTATAGTATGCAGTAATTATGAAATTAATAAAGTATGATGGCCAAGACTGTCCGATTTTGCGAGCCTAGGAAGCTGCCGTCCAGTGGATCAACAACTCATCGTTCGTTTCTTGTTTGTGAAGATAAGGCATAAAATGAATAATGGTCATTTACCTGTACTACTCTCTTGTTGACACCTATTTGTTCGGCCACAGCGGAAAGTTCATACTTGGATGGGAATGGATTTCGCTTGAAATGAGAATGTAAAATGGCGACTTGAGCATCAGTAAGAAATGAACGAGAACGTAGTGGCCTCCATGTACCAGTAGCACCACCGGAATTTGGAAGTTCAAGCCCATTGTGTAGCTCTGCACTTTCATCGGATGAGCGTGATCCATCTGGATCGGAACCGTGCACTGCATCATCCAAACCGCTGCTCTTTTCACTCTGAGAAGAGCAATTTTTTGAAACTGTGCCATTGCTGAGGCGTTTTTCAGTTTCGTTCATCAACGGCAAACCAGCGGACAGCGCTTCTCTTTCTGTGTTGGAACCAATACAGCGCAGATTAGAAGCCCAGTAGCAGCTGGATGGAAAGGTGGGTGCTGAAGTCGACGGGACGCTGCTGGCTGCCTGAAAAAAATACAATTCTTCGCGGCTTTAAAAAAAAAATTTAGGGGGCAAACCGAAAAAGCACAGCGCGAGATGAAGTGCGCAACACTCTCACTAATGCTAAGCTGCACGATCTACTACTTCACAAACAGACTGCTCGTTTGGAGAATTTACTATTTCACACGGTTGTAGTCGTGGACGCAGCCACCAAAACAAACTCTCTTTCCCTCGTTCTCTCGAGATGTGGGCATTAAATGTTTTGATGATGAGGTGGCTAAATAAATAAGCAAAAATTTTTTTGCAGTTTGCAGTACATTCACAGACTGAGGCACGTCAGTGCAACACTTTAAAATTAATATG